CCCCCCCCACTCCAGAATATAAGGTCTAGGACAGCAGACACCTCCTCTCCTGTTTTCACTGCAGTATAACCAGAACATAGTAGGTGCTCAGTAAAGATCTCAACGAGTGGGTGTTTGGATGAGTCAGGTGGGCAAATGAACCAGGAGGGGTGGCGTAGATGCTCAGCCCTGGCATCCAGTAGACCTGGGTTCGAATCTCTGCTCAGGCACCTCCCACATGGGTTTGTGAACTCACCGTGGGAAATGGAGGCTCCACAGGGGAAGCAATTGCCCAGGGAGATGAAGCTGGCCAGAGAGGGGACAGGAGTCCACCTCGGGCCCCTCGCCCCAGGCTGTGGGCTTTCTCACTACACCTGCTCGCTCAACAAATATTACCTGAGGTCCCCGATGTGCCAAGCACAGGGGGCAGTGGGAAAGGGCAGACAGGCCTCTGCTCATGTAGTTCTCCCTGTGGTGGCTTCACTGGATTCTAGATCCCAAGCTGCTCTAGTCACTATGGGACTTGAGCAAAGCCCTGTCCTCTCTGGGCCCACATATCCACCTTGAGATGGAAGGTGTCAAAAGAAGACCATAAAGGTCTGCTCAGCTCTGAATCACTGGGCTCTGGGTCAGGGAGGAGGGGGAAAGTTCAGCACTGCCCAGGTCCCTTCCCCATGGCCTCTGCACGCAGTCTACAGCACATCTGGGCACCTGCTGAGGGCAGTGCAGGCCTCACTGCCCACTCTCCCTTACATCTGGATGTCTTCTGGGACGAGGGCAGAGCTCAGAGCACTCCTGGCTGTGTGCTATGGAGGAACAAGGCCCACTCAGAGCTGGCCGCTGGACCACCCCCCCTCCTGTCAGCACCAGCCCCGGGAACAGCTCCCGACCTCCAGCTCAGAGAGCTCAGGCTGGGTTTTGCCTGTAGCGTTTCTAAGTGTGAAAACCTACCAAGACCCTGAGGAGCGGGCCTTGTTTTACAGATGGGAAAACCGAGGCTCAGGGAGGTGAAGTGGCCCAGCCAGTGTCACAGAGCCAGGAAAAGGCAGAGCTGGAATTCAGACTTAAAAAAGATTTTTCCATTTCCAGCTGCCATATCCTGGTCCTTGTAGTGACTAGCTGTGTTCCCTCAGGCAAATCACAAGGTAGGGAACATCAGGTCCTAAGTGCAGAGCCTGGCACATAATGAGCCTGTGATAAATGTCACCTCTGCCTGGAGCCTCACCTGCTTCCTGTTACCGTTTTTCTGGCTCTGGCTGGAGTGTCATCCTTCAGGACGTTAAATTCCCTTGCTGGCATTCCCACAGCAGCTGCATTCGCAACACTGATCAGACTTGCAGTGCTGTGGTCCTCACCTAGCTCCCCTGCCAGGTTCCGAACCCCGTGAGGACAAGTACTCTGCGACTCCCTGCTTTAGCACTATGGTAACCTGCACACCGAGTTCTGGTGCACAGTAGGTACTCAATAAATGGTGAATGTGTGCCTCTGCCAGGCCGGCCCACTCTGCACCCTGGCCCAGCCTCCGGCCTAGGCGGCAGTCTCTGGGACCCCTGCTAACATGGCTCCCGCCCAAAGGCGCACACTCCAGCCCTTTCCATGGCTGACCCTTCTTAGGCAGATTGTCACTCTCCTGCAAACGTCCTCCTGTTCTCCAGAAGCCGCCATCTGCCTGTTACTCTCTGGAGTGGCTCTGATGCAGGCCCTGCTGCCTACCTGTGTCCTCCCTTATGGTGGCTGCAGAAAGCACCAGGCCCCATCTGCTCCACGTCCCCAGAAAGAAGCAATGAGTTCCCTCGGAACAGCCAAATCCTCAGCTCTCACTCGGAGCTCAGGGAGGAAGGAAGGGGCCAGGCGGGGAAAGTCCTCGTTGTCACCATCTAGTCAGTGGCCTTGGGCTGCCCCTTAC